TTGCAAGAAGATCATTGGTGGTTATAAACTTGTTTTATATTATTCAAATTATTAAGTCTTCAAATTTTATGTTTTTGAAACTAGCTTTTGAATAAAAACCCAACAAAAATTCAGTAATTGAACAAAATCAGCAAAATCATAAATCAATTTCAAGGAAAGTTCTTTCTATAGCTTCAAACACACTTCAAGATCAGCAAAATCAGAAATCAAAAAAATCAGAAAAATCTAAAATCAACAAAAACAACAACAAAATCAATAAAATCAACAAAAAACAGCAGCAAAATCGCAAGTCATTGTGTTCAATGTATCAGCCAAAATCAGCAAAAAACGAAACACATAACTGCAGTGGCGTCGGTCGGGGATGACAATGGGGAGGGTTACGACGACCAAAGATGGCGATGGGGAGGAGCGTCGGCTGTTCTCCGACTGTAAATGGAAAGTGGAGCCCAAGTTTAGGACATCACTTCACACACTGCAAACATGTGATCTACTTCCTCCATGAAAGTCACACACATCAGGCACAAAATGGACGGAATATCAATACCTTTATTTACTAGATTAATTCTAGCGTGAATCTAAATAAACAAAACCAGCCAAGTAAGAATATTAAGCTTCATCGGGATATAATTAGACCATCTAGTCTTAACAACACTTAACTACATGCTAACATATTCTATATGTTCTCTCGCGGAGTTAACTACTGAGTTACCTAAATTCCACTTCCAAGAATTTGGATGACCCGACAAAATCAAGAGGTCCAACAACCCAATCACTCATTTTATTGTGATTGTCATGTTATTGATATCCGAGAAATTAAATTACCTCCTATATTTTATGCCTACAATTATTTCTATCCACTAAAATTATGACAAATCATCATTCAATTTAATTTTATTTGATATAATTCTTAATATATCCTTAATGAGTTAGTTAAAAAATATGGAATGATGACACTTGTCATAATTTTATTGGGTAGGAACATTTGTATGTATAAAAAGTAGGAAGTAATTTAATTTTTCATATGAATTTGTGAGTATAACCAAAAAAAAAAAACCATTATACAATCTATCAGTTTGGAGACAAACATAATTACTAATTGTTTTTTTCTGTATGGTAAACATTAGAAAAATGAGGAATCTATAAATCCAATAAACGGGGATTAATTCGGTTTTGAAAGGAGATGATGGGGGAATAATTTTCGGAGTAGCAGTATGGATAGCAGCGTTTGATTGAAAAGGAATCCATAAATCCCAATGATTCCCTTACCTAACAGATAAAGTAATTCAAATATAAATTAGATATTCTCATATATTTTTTATTTGTTTATCAGATATTCATATATATTAAGATATTAAATATATTTCTACTTTTTTTTTTTTATAAATCTTCCTGCTCAATTAAATGATGATATGTATATGAGATTTTCTAATATGTGACCTAAAAGCACATATACAAAACATTAATTGAAGTGTTGATTATGATAAATATTACCATAATTAAATATCATAAATATTAATTACATATAATATTATTTATAATTAATATATTTTATATTTAATTATAATAATAATACTACACATAATTAATGTTTATCACATTCAATTATAATTAATATTTTTGTAATTAATACTTTAAATAATGTTTCTTATATATGTATTAGGCACATATAGAAAATCTCCAAATATATTATAATATTATTAGTTAACATTAAAAAAAATGAATAAGAGAAAATATAGAAAGCTCTTCAAGAATTACATGAATTTTGAGTCTATTACAAAATAGTTTAATTGTTAATCTTTATCATCCGGCATTCTTATTCTTATGTTAGTACCCTATCACATTTGGAAATAAAAGAGGAGGAAGGCAGATGGAGGTATAATTATGAGTACTGGACATGCAATTAAATACAAATACAGTGCATCATGAGTTGTACCCCTGAAAATACGCCTTCACAGGCCACACCCCCTTTCAACTAATTGGTATGACAGCCATACGCACATGATTATCATCATTAGGCGAGTAGCTACCACACGCTTACATTATTTTCATTTTCTTTTCCTTTCCTTTTTCCAATTAAGTATTTTCGTCTCCCAAACGAAACCCCATCTTTGACCCGACCCGTTCTTAGTCCGGCATAGCCGTCTTTCTAAGCCTTCAAACGTCATTCCTCCTCGTCTTTATAACCCTTCTTTATAGTTCATGTGGGTTTAATTTCATTATCATACATCATCATGTTTCTCATACTTTTGGTAGCTGTGGTCGTTGGTTTTTTGTTGGTTCCTCGAATATTATCGAGGACCTCCATCGGACACTTGCTGCAAAATCGATGGCGGTTCTTGGAGGAGTGTTTTCATGCGCACCAGTTCTACAAGATTCCTAAATTCAATCAATATATGCAGGAGAATCAACTTTATCACAAAGTTTTACTCTATCTTAATTCCATACCTTCCGCCGGTGATTCCGATTTCGTCAATCTGTTTTCCGGTAATAACAAGGCTAACGAGATTACCCTCGTTATTAACGCCGACCAGGTCTTCCCCGATTCGTTTCTCGGATCCCGAGTCTATTGGAAGTTCGAAAAGGATTGTTTCGTGTTGAAGATACGAAGGAAGGAGAAACGGAGGATTTTAAGTACGTACCTTCAACACATTCATAAAGTCGCGGATGAGATCGAGCAGAAGAGTAACGAAGTCAGACTGTACATCAACGCCGAAAACGAACCGGAGAAGAACGGGAGATGGAAATCGATTCCGTTTACACACCCGGCGACGATCGACACAGGAATGATCGATTCCGAGTTTAAAAACAAGGTGAAGTCTGATTTGGAATTGTTTTTGAAATCGAAACAATATTATCACCGTCTAGGGCGTGTCTGGAAACGAAGTTATCTACTGTACGGCCCATCGGGAACCGGAAAATCGAGCTTTATCGCCGGAATGGCGAAGTTTATGTGTTATGACGTGTACGACGTGGATATGTCGAAGATCACCGGCGATTCGGATCTGAAACTGCTTTTGTTACAGACGACAAGCAAGTCTATGATTGTGGTAGAGGATTTGGACCGGTATCTGGTGGAGAAATCAACGGCTGTGAGTTTATCTGGAATTTTAAATTTCATGGATGGGATCATCTCATGTTGTGGTGAAGAGCGCGTAATGGTTTTCACGGTCAGCAGTAAAGATCAGATCGATCCAACGGTTCTAAGGCCTGGGAGAATAGACGTTCACATACACTTCCCCTTATGTGATTTCTCTTCATTCAAAAATCTTGCCAACAGTCATTTGGGGATTAAAGAACACAAGCTTTTCCCACAAGTTGAGGAAATTTTCCAAACCGGGGCGAGCTTGAGCCCGGCTGAGATCGGTGAGATCATGATATCGAACCGGGGGTCACCCACAAGAGCTCTTAAAACGGTTATCAATGCTTTACAAACAAACAATGATAGCAGATTAAGTGGGAAATTCAGACTATCTCATAAATTAAGTCAAAACGGTTCAGTTACCGGGTCAGCCGGAGCTCAACGAAATTTGAGCCATAGCGGTTCTATTGATGGGTTAGTTGATATGTCTTCAAGATTGGTGGCCACCGGTTCAACAAGAACCGTTGACGAGTCGAGCGAAACTGGTATATTTTGTATGGAAAATGGTCATACAGGAAAGGAACTTAAAAAATTATATGGACTATTGAAAAGTAGGAGTCGTCGAAAAGAATCGGTGGATTTAGATGGAGGAGGAAAATTGTAGGCATGAAATCATGTTGAAGATATTTTGTTGTACAAATTATATTTTTTCTATTAAAAAAGTTTGTTTTATTGTTTGTGTTAGCTTAAAAATGTAATATTTTGGGATATTTATATGGGTAGATTGAAAGGAAAACTACTTCAGCTTTCGTTTTATTTTTATTAATTAGTCAGAATCAGAATAATAATGTTACTAAAAGATATTCAAGAATTTGTCAAATGGGCACCAATAAATTTTAAATACCCCCGACAATTTATGGGGTATTTACTTGACTTCTTGAGTTGACCTTGTATATGATGCTGTATCTAAATCTTGATCCGTTCATAATTTTTGGCATATTTAAACTCGCTTAGTATTATTTTTAGTAATCTTTTTTGGTATAGATTATTATAATAAATAAAATCATATAAAACTAAAATACATAATGTATAATGTAAAAGGGTCTAAGATAATAGAAATATTTTATTAACTTATTATATTTTGTTATTATGTTTGGTTGGTTTAAAAATATAAAATGAGTCAGTTATTTATGTTTTTATAATGACATTAAACTGATAATAGAAACAATGACATTATTCTACGAAGTAAATTTTAATCAAATTAAAATATTTTCCTTGATAATTTACATGCAAAAGTATATTATGTCCCCGTTTCAAAAAGTCAAAAGAGAATATGTTTATTACTTTTATTTATTTTTTTCACAAAAACAAAATAATTAAATATCATAAAGTCTCAAAATAAAACTATCATAAACTCACAAAATATAAATTAATTATAATTTCAAAATCCGATAAAAAAAAACTTTTGTTGAAAATCATAAATTAAATTATTTGTAATAATATATGGTTTTATTTATTACAATTGAAAATACAAAAATACCATTCTCTCATGAAATAAAATCAAAAATCAACTGAAAAAATAATATCAAATACAATAAATACTTAATATCGTTCTTATTAGTTATATGTCAAATAAACAAGATTTTTTGTTCCATTATAATTTATTCCAACTTAATTGTTGCATAAAAAACACCGTTAATTGGTTTTAATAAAGTGTTTCAAGCCAATAATTATGAATATAACATTTGTTGTTAATTGCTATATCATATGGTCGTATATGTCGTTTAACTCTTTTGGAAAGACATACATAAAGAAAATGTTATTGGTGGAAACAAGCATGTTTGGTGTTTAGCTCGTATTTAGCATGCCATTGGTTGTACCAACTACAAAAAACATTTAAATCGACGCAAACAATGTGATGAGTTGAAATTTGCATGAGTTGTATGTGAATCGCTGAATTGTACACAAAAGAGTTGACTTGAATTAAGTATACATACATAACATCAGCATGTTTTGAATTAAATAGGAAATATGTGTTTACATTTTATTGAAATTTTATATCCTAAAAAACTCCTTGCAGTTCAATTTTATAGAACTTATCTATTAACATTATTGTTTTTTATGCTTTGTTTTTTGACTTTTGTGGGTCACTTACGTTACTTATTCTCATATCGTTCAATTAAAACATTATTTGTCGGCATACACGATTAAATATCAAAAGTTTTTGAAGGAAATTACAACAAAAAAATCACTTTTGAATAAAAAACTATTTTTCTTTTGGACTTTATTATGGATCTAAAAGTCGTTGCACTTTATTACTATTTTCATATCTTAGACTATTATTTGATTTGTAGTTTAATTTTGTTGATTTTTTGCATCTTGTCGCCGGTTTAATTGAAATCATTTTCACATCACAGCTTTACTACAGGGACATGTTTTTTTGTCATTTCAATATTATTATCATAACTTGAGATGAAATTGAAAAAGTCAAACATTCATAGTATAAATTTTAGGTGAGGTCTCTCTCTTTTCCTGTTTTGGTTTTGCCCATAAAATTTTGTTAATATTCTGACTATTCAACTTTAAATAGTTATAATCACAATAACTCTTTAACTTCAAAGCTTCTAATAAATTTGCTTCTTAAGATATGTTTATAACAATATTTATTTTATTTTAAAGTTTTAATCAGAGTATTATAATTATTAGTTCATAGTTTATGTGAATTACATGATTTCGTTCTTTTTAATGATATATTTGTTAATATTTTAACTAGATAATTTTATTACTATATTTTGTTTTTTTTTTTTGAAACAGGCTAGTATGTCGTATATTCAAAAGGTTCTAGCAACTAGAACCAAAACAAAAAACAATTACAAAGAAACACTCTATCTAAACATTCCGATTAATATTTATTTTGGAAACTCGATTATTTAACCAATTGAACGAATTCAAAACTATTTAATCAAAAATAACATCTCTATGAATTGATTTGATATCGAGGATTAATTGCCAAGTGAAAAAAAAAAATTATAACTGCATAATATACGGATAATAAAAATAACTATATAAACTAATTTAAATCCAAACCTTTTTGACAAGTTAAACCTTACTGAAAGTCTATCAATGAGTAATCAACAACTGAAAATAATTTTATTACTAATAATATACGGATAATAAAAATAACTATATAAACTAATAACAAACAAGATGAAGGCCATGGTGCGGGTTTGAATGGTCAGATGTTCAAAGGAAAAGGTTTTTTTTTATATATTGAATTGAAAACTGGTACATTGATAGATCAAAAGAATCTGCAGATTACAAATGAGTTGTATGTGAAGACTTTTTGTTAATTGAAATGATTTTTCAAAGCACAATGCATTAATCAGAAATAAAAAAGTGAAAGTATAAAGCTTAAAATAAGAAATGAAAGTAAGATGCTATAATAAGCAAATAAACGGAAGTGATCCAACTTTAGATGAGGCACTGTTGGAATTATTACCAATATCTCCATTTATTCTTTTGATCTGCCTCATCTTCATGGTGTTCTTGAGATCTTTCAGAATTGCCATTAAGAAAACCTGAGCGAATTTGTAGTGAAGATTTTTCATTTTCTGTTGGTTCAATCTTTTGTGGTGGGAATTGTCTCTCAGATTGAACTAAAGCTTCATTATGTTGAAAAGATTGTGTAGAGATGAAGGGTGGATTGACCTAAATGATCCAAAAGAAACAAATAAGTATAAGTAGATTGTTATATCTTGCAATTAACAAATTTGAAAATTAAAAGTACATTCGCAAGAAGTAAAGTAGAAATGTACTTAGCATACATTGGTACGTAACATATATTTCTACTTTATATCACATATGCACATATCTTTCTTACAAGTTATATTAGATTTACATAAATATGGTGTAAATACAAGGGGAAAACGGAAAGGACTATAAAATTGTAATTTCATATAAAGCGATAAAGTGCTAACCTTGACAAACGAAGACAAAGTTGATTGGAAGCGATAAGCAAAATCCAGAGGAAGGCGGTGGCTATCTGCATGCAAATGAATTATAAAAAGCATGAAGAAATGAAAAGATAAATAGAAATAATACCAACTGCATTGTGAGCCTTTTCATGATGTCCCTGCCGCCACCAGAAGTCATACCCTGTGAAATATGAAAAGTTGCTTTATCAGAAAATACATACAATTAACCATATATGAAATTCAATGTTACATGGTAGATGTGTCATGTAAAACCAAAAAATATATCTTTTAACCGAAACAATCAAAATTTAGTCAAGCAAAAAAAAACATGTGCATATAACTACAGATACATACATACAAATACACATAAATACACAAACCTGCATTACATGACTTAGGAAGTAAGAACAAAAACCTAAATCCCTTTTGTATCCAATAATTATGACATCAAATACTCCACTATTTAAAAGCATAGAGGCTTTGTAAATATATAAATCCAAGGTTAATCAGTAATGAGTACTTACAACATGATTTCTTACGTTAGAGAGCAACAAAACACTCCTGTAGAACACCATTGGTAAGGATCAAAATATCTCAAAATCATCAAAAGATTTTGAACCTAATAACCCAACAAGACAACTAATTGTAGTTCAGTAAAAAATATAGTATTAAAAATGATTGTTCTCTTGATAATGCAAATGAAAAAAAAAAAAAAAAAAAAAAACATACAAAATAATAATTTCCACCAATGGGTCTATTCATTTCAAGATCCCAATATTGTCTATAATCTCAATATCCTGGACGACAATGACACCTATCCTAATTCTACAGCACAACTTGTATACAAATAGATAGCATAAATCAATTTACCCATGACTAAACTTCAGTCACATAACACAAGAAAAGCTTGCACACGCATATCACTTCATCTGCTTTCAGTTATCTTCCACGTATTAACTGCAACTAAGTAACAACAAAGTATCAGATTAGCTACAACAACCAAACCATCCAGAATTTTAGTAAAAAAAAAAACAAATTTCAAGATTTTGATAACATAATATACAAGAATTGGAAACTATGGAAACATCATCCTCTGAAAATCAGCAGAAAACATCCGTTTAAATGAGTTACTTACCTGGAGAGGGTGACTCATCCGCAATCAACCGAAAAAAGCGGTATAAGAGAAAGAGGTGGCGGTGGTGATGCTAGAAGATACCGTTGGCCGTGTGGCGATGAAAGCCTTGGAAGAGAAAAATGGTGACCTAATTTTTGAAGCCCATGAAAACCACGAAATGGTTTAGTTCCAGTTACCGATACATAGGGAAGGAAGAGCAGGCGAAGGAAAGGTAGATGACGATGTTGTTTATTGTAGATGAAGAAGAAACATCGACAGATCCGAAAGACCTATCAAGTTGAACCTTGAAGCTGTCCTCCATGGATGTCGTCGTTTTGGGTTTAGAATTTTTGATGATGCTTCTGGGGTTTTAGTAATGAAATCGGAGATGAGTTTTTCCATCGGATTCATCATTGATGTTCCGATCGCTTTCTCCTTCCGAACCACTCTCCATCTCGAAAATTACTGTCAACGGTGAGGTGAGGAACTGATAGAGAATAACGAAAAGATGGGATACGGGAATTCATAGGAACAGGAGAGAAAAAATATGGAGGACTGAGAATGGATCTGATTCGTAAGGCGGCGATTTCTGATAGGAAAAATCGAGGCGGTGAAGTTAAACGGGAAGAAGCAGTGACGAAGAACTTGTGGCGAAAAATTAGAGATGAGTACGCAAAATAAAGTCAAACAACATGACAAATCGGCCATTGAAAGCACAACCACGGATTAAAGTTTTAGGAACGGCAAACGGTAAAATATCTAAGCGATGAAAGTTAAATTGTGAAATAAATGAGCTTAGGGACTAAAACTGTTAAAACGGATAAAGATTTGTGGCCAAAGTCCTAACCAGCAAAACTTCACTGTTTCTTAAAGTTATGTGCGTGTATATATATATATATATATATATATATATATATATATATATATATATAGAGAGGTTTAGGTTCTATGGAAAACAAAAATGCCTAAAAAAACCCAAAAAATAAAAAAAAAACATAAAAAAAATATTTAGAGATCACAAAGCATTTTTTTGAATTTTTTTTATAAAAAATTTCAAAATTTTTTTCAACGAATTTCTTTAAAAACCTGCGATTTTTTCATAAAAAAAGTTTTGTGATCTCTAGGTATTTTTTTTATGCATTTTTATTATTTTTAGGGTTTTTTATTTTCCAAATAACCCTTCCATATATATATATTATATATATATATATATATATATATATATCTATATATAGATATATATATATATATATATATATGGAAGGGTTATTTGGAAAATAAAAAAACCCTAAAAATAATAAAAATGCATAATATATATATATATATATATATATATATATATCTATATATATATATATAATATATATGGAAAAGTTCAATAGAGAACCATAATTATTGGTTCTTCAAGGAACCAAATCTTTTTTTCAATTTCTAGAGCTTATTCTTTATCGAAAAAAAATCTAAAAATATCTAAATTCATATATTAACATTGTGAAAATGAAAAATATTTTTCGGATTCACCGTGTGAATCCGGATTCACATTGTGAATTTTCAAAGATTCACATTGTGAATTTGACGTTAAAAAAAAAATCGAATTTGATATCTTTGGAGAAAGGATAAAGAGTTATGAATTTCTGTATTTTTAGTTTTTTTTTTGATAAAAAATAAGTTCTAAAAGTTGAAAAAAAGATTGGTTCATTGGTTCATTGGTTAATTATGGTTAATTATTGGAGGTTCATTCAGGATTTCTCCAAGATAGTGGTACCCTTGACCCAACTGACCAATAAGACGGTGACTTTCCACTAGGGGCCTGAGCAGCAGGCGGCTTTCGAGACTTTGAGGCAGAGGTTGTGCGAGGCGCCGATCTTAACCTTACAAGAGGGCGTGGAGGATTTCATAGTGTATTGTGATGCGTCTATCTCAGGATTGGGCGCATTGTTGATGCAAAGAGGGCACGTCATCGCTTACGCCTCGAGGCAGTTGAAGCCTCACGATGCGAATTACCCGACACATAGCCTGGAGTTGGGGGCAGTTGTTTTTGCCCTCAATATTTGGCGACACTACCTCTATGGGGTCCGTTGTACCATTTACACGAATCACAAGAGCTTGAGGTACTTGATGGACCAGCCAAATCTGAACATGATACAACGACGGTGGTTGGACGTGGTGAAGGATTACGATTGCGGGATCCTCTACCACCCGGGGAAGGCCAATGTTGTGGCCGATGCACTTAGCCGCGAGGCATTCACGGCCCCAATCAGAGACATCTGCCTGAGGATGACAGTAGTGACCCCGCTTTTGGAGCGGATTCGGGAGGCTTAGCAGGAGGCTATGAAGGAGGAACAACGGAAGAGTGAGCGTATCGTGGGACAAATTTTCTCCTTCGACTATGATAGCCACGGGCTATTGACACTCCATCGTAGAGTGTGGGTTCCATACACTGGCGGTGTGCGCCAAATCCTGATGGAGGAGGCGCAAAAATCTAGATTTTCCATCCATACCGGGGCGACGAAGATGTATAGAGATCTCCGTCCTGATTACTGGTGGCCCTGCATAAAGCAGGATGTAGTCTGGTACGTCGAGAGGTGCTTGACCTGTAGGAAGGTCAAGGCCGAACACCAGAGACCTCACGGCAAGACGCAGCCGTTGGATATCCCTGTGTGGAAATGGGAGGATATTACCATGGACTTCATTACGAAGTTACCTCGGACGACGCATGGATTAGACGAGATATGGGTCATCGTGGATCGATTGACCAAGAGCGCCCATTTCATACTGATTCAGGAGAGTATTTCGGCCGAGAAGCTGGCAGACATCTACATCAGGGATGTAGTTGTTGGGTTTTGAGCATTCTAACACTCCTAAGGTGTACATGCAACCTTAAATGCTTTGGATCTATGTTTTCTCTAATATACATGCAAACTTTTAATATTTAAAAGCATCATCCTAACTAGCATACAATGGAGTATCTATACTACACAATTCTAGTTAGATGACATACCTTTTTGTTGTAGCTTGAAACCTTAGACCTTTAAGAGCTTAGCACCAATATTGTGAATGCCTCAAATGGAATCACAACACACCTTTGGACAAAGGATGACTTGAGAGAATATGTCTTGCACACAAATCGGCTATGCTCTTCCAAAGATCACTCTAGTGCACGATTTCATGAACTAAGGGGCTTCTTATATAGTGTGGCAAGATTAGGGTTACACTAATGTGCATGACCTTCCATATTCCTCATGCTCCATGAGTTTAAACCTTCATGGACCATCCATGGGTCACCACATGGGTTTAGCCCAACATAAAGAACTATGGATCATAAGCCCACATTATAAGAATGAATGATTTACATAATCAATCCTCATATATTTAATTAGTTTCTTTTGATCACAAAATTAATTCCAAATTAATTCTTGATCAATACTAATTAAATAATATGATTTCATATTAATATATTAGAACTTATAATATATTAATAAATCATAAATAACCTTTTCTCAAAAGTCCATCCTATCAAATTGTCCTGGTGATATGCAACCCAAATGGACCATGCTACTCTCGGGTCAAGTACATACCAATAATAGTTATGGGCTTAGACACTAATCCAACAGTCTCCTACTTGGATAAGTCTAATAACTATTATTGCAAGTATGACTCCACAATCCCAACTAGCAATCGTAGCTCTTAAAAGCTGCTGTCGAACTCTGACCTAGTCAATGACGCGTCCATTAGATAAGGGATCATATATTCATCCATTCTAGATATCGTATGGACTGAGACATGGATTTTAATCATTCTCTCTATCCATCTGTTGTTTCCCGATTTCCAATTTATGACGACTGACTAATTGAACAAATCAAATCAGTCCAGACTTGGCCAAGCGCTTAGGGTGTCATCACTAAATCATCGAGGGGCCCACATATATCGCTTTTATCCCTCTAAGGGTAAAAGGAATGGATAAACTTCGACTTAAATGCTTGCTCTATCTACTCACCAAATCACACACAACGATATTTTTTATAACACTAAGTTACTGGTGCGTTTACATATGTCAATGTGCAACCGACTTGTAAACTACAACTCACACATCTTGGTTTCAAGAATATAAGATATTATCGTCTCACAATCACTCGTGATAAACTCCATGAAGTGATTCAGATGAGCGTGGGTTGAATTCAATACTCGAATCTTATTCCAGGAGTACTCATGAACACTGCATCAATCTTGTCCTAGACAAACTACATACTCATTCATGACAGTCTTGCCTCAATACCTACTTCCAAAGTATGATCGACTGTGGATGGTTTTGAATAACCTAGTTATTCTGGAAGTCAAAACATGCAAAGTGAAACACAAGAATAATACTAATCTTATATGACCCCAAAACTTTTGAGTCATATTGATTACTCATTATTCATTGTATAATGTTTAGAATAATCAACTTAGTACTTGAATTAAAACAATAGCTATTCCATGCTCCAAACATGCATACTATGTTTGTCTAAACAATAGTTATGTCATGCTCCAAGCATGCACACTATGTTTGTCTAACCATAAGCTAAACTGGGATGGTTCGTGTGTTGTGCTGGATTTATTAATCTTGTATTTTTCACACAAATTTTCTAATATTCTTTTACATATGGAACATTTATGTAAATTTGTTATTGGACAGTGGCAATTTTTCTAGATTTGATTTGTAAAACGTAGGGATAAATTATGTAATTTTGCTTTTGGCAAAGATTATTTCCGGAATTTTGTGAAAATCAGGGAATATTTATTTACTTTTGTGAAACACAAGGACAATTTATGTGATTTTGCTAGAAAGAGAGAGACCATATCTATAGTTTTATGAAACATAGAAACCATTTATGTAAATTTGTTATTAGGAAGGAACCGATTACGTAATTTTTTGAAACATAGGGACTGTTCCTATAAAAGACAATTTTGTGTAAAGACCTATTTTGTAAATTATAGGACCGTTTTTATAATTTGTTTTCTATATAGAGATTGTTTTTATAATTTTCGATTAAAACATGGATATTTTGTAAGTTAGAGGAACATTTTTGTAGAGAATTTGTTTGGTAAGGATTGTTTGAATAAATATCCCAGGAGTTATAGAATTTTGCATTTTTGTCGAAAGATAAGAACTTGTTTAACGTTCAAAGGGAGTGAAGTTAGAGCATGAAAAATGTTTTAGGGCAGTAGGAGGTTAGAAGTACTACCAAACGAACAGCAGACCTTCAAACAAGTTTGCCAGCCTTAACAATGGCTGCATCCCTTCTATTTCTGCGGTCCCGAAACTCCCTTATACTTCCTTTCTCGCTGATGCCCAATTTTATAGCATTCAACCCAACAATTTCACGTTTAATTTTCTCCACTGCTTCTGCTTCGCCACCTAAGCGAGTCGGCACTCATAACGGCACCTTCCACTGCGACGAAGCCCTAGGATGTTTTATGATTGGCCTCACGTCAAAGTTCCACGGAGCCCAAATCATTCGAACTAGAAACCTTCAGGTACTATATATAAACATATATACATGTTCATACTTTGATTATTATTTCAGTTCCGGAATAGATATTAACATTGGGGAAATGTTGACGGAGAAGGTTTTGGATACGCTTGACGCGGTGCTTGATGTTGGGGGAGTATATGATCCGAGAACCGAGCGGTTTGATCATCATCAGAAAGGATTCGATGAAATACTTGGTAATGGATTTACCACTGAGCTAAGTAGTGCTGGCCTTGTGTATAAGGTAATTACTTATCTTCTCCATTTCTGCATAAAACAAGGTTTCAAGTGTAGATTGATTGTTTTAACCAGCGAATTGAGGTTCTAATGAACGACTTGTTTCGTGTTGTGTTGTAGCATTATGGGATTGAGATAATTGCAAAGGCAATTCAGCTGGATGAAGGTCATCCTGACGTTCATTGCCTGTTTTCAGCTGTTTACAGGAATTTTGTAGAGGTACTTCAAAAATAGTGCTTCTTCTTTATCCTTTATCCTTTATCCAACGCCATTTTTTGACTGTACAATGTATTAGGCAGTTGATGCTATTGACAATGGAATCAATCAGTATGAGACAAATCAGCCTCCCAGATATGTGAACAACACAACTCTTTCCTCCAGAATCTCCAGATTGAATTTGAACTGGTATGAAGCCGATCAATCACCTGAGAAAGAAGACCAAGCATTTCAACATGCAATGAATTTGGCCGGGAGTGAATTTATGGATGTGAGTGTGTTTGTATTCTTTCACTAACATGATATCTTTTCATTAATGACTCTTTGCCCTGTTTATGCACCAGTGTATCCACTTTCATGCAAAATCATGGTTGCCAGCAAGATCGGTTGTAATGGAATGTCTTGCAACAAGAAAGAACATTGATTCCAGTGGAGAAATCATGTTGCTGACTATGTCTTGCCCTGTAAGTTGCTTGAGATATACAATACAACATTGGTTTGCTGTCATTTATGTGTTAACATAAAGAATCTTTACTTATTCGACAGTGGAAGCTTCACATATTTGAGCTTGAGGTGGAAATGAAGATTGATCCTGTCTTGAAATACGTTATTTATCAGGTGCTTTACAAATTCAAAGTGGCAACACTTATACACTAAAAGACTTAGAAAAACTCCTTTTCATGTTATGTAGGATGAGAGGAACAATAAGTGGAGAGTGCAGGCAGTAGCAGTGTCACCAGATAAATTTGAAAGCAGGAAGGCTCTTCCATCTCATTGGAGGGGTTTAACAGATGATCATCTTTCTCAAGTGGCAGGAATATCTGGTTGTGTGTTTGTACATTCAAGTGGATTTATTGGTGGAAACAAGACTTATGAGGGTGCACTAGCCATGGCAAGAGCTTCTTTATTGGCTTAAGCAAAAAAAAAAAAAAAGGTGTTTATTCTTCTGGATTTTGAAGTATATCATAAGGTAATGCACTCTTCCTTCAATTAAACTAACTACTTATATCATCCAATAGTCAATCACAATCCAACTCCTAAGCCTAGGTAGAACATTGTTGGACATGATACCAAACAAGACAACTGTTAACTGGAAACATGAAACACACAATTTAAAGATATAATCAAAACAAAGAGTAATGCTATTAAATCATAATTGTTTAATGGAAAAGTTTTGAACTAAGGTTAAAAAAAAAAATTTCTCGGTAGCTCAAAACTTCATTCTTCTTCTTCTTCTTCTGACTCTATAGGTAGATCTTCTTTGAACCATTGATACAATCCTCCCTCCAAATGGAAGACATTATTATAACCATTCAGAACTAGCAAGTAGGCAGCTATAAGGGACCTGCACCAATCAACAATAATGTAGATTCATGAGAAAGATGGAAAAAAAAAATTGAGGAAATTTTATTTAGCAACCTTGATTGTTGGCCTTCGGGAAGATTTTGTGTAGGTTTCATTGTACCTCCAGAAGAGCAAGCTACAATAATCTTTGAGTTTTTATCTAATTTGGATGCAACATCTGTTCCAGACAAGACAAACATTGTGTCTGATTAAGTAAGTAGTTAATACAGGACTGAATGGGGTTGAAAATTGAAATGACATACAGACATACCTTGCAAAAATTCAGGATTTTCTTCAGTTCCAGCAAAGATACCAAAAAATGCAAATGCAGCTCGTCTTGCAATGTCCCATGCTGTCCACTCTTTTATAAGCCTATATATTTGCACATTGATAGCACCTGGTGGATGACCCTACATCCATCCATCCATAAATTAATATTTTACAATTCCAAACTTGAGTAATTCAATTCAACCTACAGTAACATTTACACCATATCAAAATAGAAATATAAAGTAAGTGTTTGTGTGTGTGTGACCTCTTTAAACTCGGCTACTGGTCTGACATCAAGAATCACAAAGCTGTTTTCTTGCTGAAGGCGTAGGGCTTCCTTAACATCCACACTTCGAACCTAATTTTGATTGCATATGTGCAATTAAGATTTAAAGAAATAAAGGAGGGATTTTGATATTTGTTTATAGGAAAACCTTAATACCCTTTTTTCTAGGAGGAGCTCCCTCTTTGTCTTCCAGTCTTGTTCGGCTAAAAAGAAACGGGAGAAATATATATATATATATATATATATATATATATATATATATATATATATATATTTGGATACATGATAAAGTATTGAAGTTTGTGAAAATAATGAATATAAATAAATATAAAGAGGTAGAAAAAGGAATTACCAGGTGATTTTGGTGGTTTGGTTGCTGCACTGCTTCGGATTCTTAACCTGGAGAGAGAGTGTCTCCTTTTGATTGGGTTGATGGCAATGAAATTGGAAGAAGAAGAAGAAGATGTGTTTTCATTTACAGAGTTTGAATAACAAGTAAATGGAGTAGGATAGAGCTTATTAGATGAGTGTGGGGTGACTGAAGTGAGAGCAACCATGATCTAAATTCTTAAAACACAAGTACAGGGAGGGGTTTGATAAATTAAAACAGGAGTTTGTTTTCTTTTTTTTTTTTTTTTTTTTTTATATATATAATCGGGCTTTCAGGAATGAATGCAGATTAAGATAAAATATGATGAAAATAAAGGAGGTTGAGTTTTTGAACGCAATAATGAATGAGAAGAAGGGGATAATTTAGGAGGTGGTGGGGTATAGACATAGTCATGGGGATATTTTGGGTTCCTCCCACAATCTGAGTTTGTGGTGGTGGTTTAATTTAAGATCTTGTTTTGATCCCCACCCCATCTCATGTTTTTCTGACCTGTTTTTTTTTTTTTTTTTTACTTATTTATTTATTGGTGCTTGATTTAAGGTCAACAACAGTCAACAGGAATGCGAATGGTAATACTTATATGGGTTTATTTATGATGTTTTATTGACATTGAAGAATATTGTGATTCATACTTTTTATAAACTCAATACGATAGTAGTTTCTTGTATTTGAATTAGGAAAACATGAAAGTATATTTTAGAAACAAGGGATTATGAGAAAGCCAGGGAGTTTGGTTCTTTAGGCACCATATTGAATTAAAATGCGTCACGGTTGATTTTGTTCGCGTTTTCTAAGCTTGGCCTTATTAGCAAATTCTGGTCAAACAACTAGTATTGTCGCTTGAATTTGTGTAATTTAACAATAGAAAGTAATATCATCTCTCTCTCTCTCTCTCTCTCTCTCTCTCTCTGCGGACGTAGTTGATCATCTTGATTGTGTGAACCACGTAAATTGATTGTGTCTTTGTTTTCGTTTGCATTGTTACTGTGTGAAATCATTTATTAAGTTGTTGACATGCTTAAACCCTAAAACATCCGGTGTCTTTGACAAGTAACATATCCCGTGCAACTCGATCAACAGATCAACAAACCTCGTATGTGAATAATTGTTATCCATAATAGACTTGTTTAACTCGAGATAGATAATGCATATTCTTGCCATCCTTTGCCATGAATAAGATTGGAGCTCCCCATGATAAGATATTTGGTTCGGTCGGGTAAATCCTTTGTCAAAACTCTTCAATTAAATAAACGATGCATGCACAATTTTTGCCAAATCCTTTCTTAGATCAATATGAAACTCTACTTAATAATTGGGTTGCAAATAAGACGAAAATCCTCTCATAATACGTAGGGTTGGTTCGGAGATTTTCTATGCCTTGCGCAAAAAGCTTAATGATGCCTTATATATGTATCACACAACTACAATAAACACATTATATGATACATTTGCAACAAACACATACAACATAAGAATATAAACTACTTGAATAAAGCATTTAATTATTTATCTAAAATACAAATGTTCTTACTGAATAAACAAATTTCCAACAAAAAAGAAAGCGTAAAACCATTACAAGCATAAAAGAATAAACAAATTTCCAACAAAAAAGAAAGCCTAAAACCATTACAAGCATAAGGAACTAAGGTGCTAACCAAAGTAAGTTGCGTCAAAAAAAAAAAGATTAAACCATAACAAGCCTATAACAACAAGTTTACTCATTTAGTCCTGCTACGAGGATAATAGATTGCCTCCAACAAAAATAAGTTGTCTCATCCAATCAGGATTTGTATAATAGATAGCTTACAACTAAAATAATCATGCAAGGAGGAAGACTTAATGCAACGCCCTTTTGAGAAAAAAAAAATTGTTCGCCTATATGCCATTTCTGAATTAGGAGACTATTTGGTAGAAACTAAATCATCCATGTTGAACCATTAAGAGGTCATATGAACATTTATCAAACATATTTCAACAAAAAAATTAGCAACACGTTTATTAGATTTCGGTTGAACATTTCAGCACAAATCAACATCAACATCATAAACGAATAACATAAAACACCATTTTGTACTAATCAACCTACAATATGAAAAAAGAAAAAGTGAAGGGTTTTGGGAGCTTTAGAAACAATTTTGGAAAGAGAGTAGGGTAGTGGCTACGATGCCAAGGAAGACGGCGATTGTAGATATTGTGGCATTGAGTTTTTTGTTTAGATTCTAGCACACACACAAATAGCATCACTGTTTTCTGTTCATCTCCAACACAAACACATAGACATCGACGTTGATGGTGGAGGTGGTGAAAGTAACAATGTCGATGGTGACCGAGTATAGTTGTGTGGGTGGTGGCTGATGGTTGAGGTGGTGAGGGCGGGGCTAATGGTGGAATGATTGTTTTTAAAGTTTGTAGAGAGGGTGTTGTTTAAAGAGAGAACGATAGTTAATTTCACAGCTCTTTGCTAATGTTGAATTGTTCATAACATCTAACCGATTAAGAGGTTAAAATTTGATGAATCAAGTTAAACTTTAAACATGATCCTATTTGGCTTGCTTTCATATCAATTGTATTCGAACAAAAAAAAATGTAATAGAAATAATCAAACATTTTAAATTAGAAGTCCAACACAAAAAAAAAGGAAAGTATCTCTTATCAATTCTAATTGAAACCAAATCTCCACTATGCTTAACAGATATTGCAATCCGATTCGGATTGAAAGGAGGTTAAAATCTTTAAAATTTCAAAAACCCAAATTTAGAGTTTGAAGCCCAATCATGAGATATTAATAAAATCCATTCTATCGTGCATCATCATCATTTAGCAGATAATTAAATCCATTTTATCTTGCATCACCATTCATCAAATATCCGACTGACTCAACTCAAAGAATAGTATAACTGGATTGCAGGCCCAACTTATGCCCTCTAATTTTTGTTGCCTTGGTCGGTGGCTCATGTCACGATATATTTTTGTCTGTGATTAGACTTTCATATCAGTCTCGTTGGTTTTGGTTATTAAAAATATGACTCCCTTATCTTAAAAACTGTTTACGGCTATCCAATATTTTTTCTCATAAAGCTTATCATGCGTAATGCCTTTAAATTTTCCAACTGATAATCTAAGAATCCTCACAGCATTATTTATCGTTATTTCATTGATCAATCTCCACTTGCATGCTTCATGTTATATCTAAGTTCGGAGTGATTCCATAAAAAGATTATATTTTGCAAGAGTTTGAAAGTTATGTGAGAGTGAGAAACTGAGAGCAAAATCTTGTACACACGGTTTTAAATCTACCTTTAAACATTTTGTTGTATCTTGTAAGTGTTGGTTAAAACCTTGTATAAATTTTGCTTTGTGATTTGTTTCTTATTTCATGAGCATATTGTTTTGGAAGTTTAAGTGCACTTTTGCTCATTGGCACCGTTGTGTTCATGGTTTTGGAGCATACCTTCATCTTTGTGATTTTCATGAAGCTTCATCAACAAACATTCGATGTCTTAACTAATTTTTCTTCTTCCCACATATTTGTATTTTTGTTGCAAAAGAAGACGACAATGGGAAATATGAAGAATTGAAAATGGTTGATCTAGAGTTAGCATTTGATCAAGGACGAGCAATTTCAACTAGGAAGGTAGGAAGAGAAAGAAATGGAAAAAGGGGAAAGAGAAAAGGGTGTGGTCCCACTTAAATTAATAATAGTATGTATATAAAATAAATAATATCAAATAAGGACATCATAGTCATTTTGTACCCGTTAGGGGGGGGGGGGGGGGGGGGGGGGGGGCTATGCTGAAACAAAAAGATACGTAAGAGTGAAAAATAATAATGACAACATATGCAATCTTGACCTAAGCATATGAACGAAAATTGTAGTGGACCCAAGAAAAATAATCTAGAGGTGAACAGATAAATAGCAGATATGTGTACTTAAAGTCTAGGCAGAAGTCAACATAATAACTTAGGGTTAAACCGTTAAATAGACCTGTTCAAACCAATGACAGAAGGATATGTTATGTGAACTTGACTCGACAACGTTAGATTCGAAAAGGATTGCAAAGTTTACAACTATTGTGTATGATGATGATGATGTAATATTGACTTTTGATTAGATTAGGCCATGAAGTGTGTTCTGACTTTTGATTGTATAAATAAAACCGATGTTAAAAATAGTTTCTTAATATTTTAGATTAAAATTTTGTTACAATTGTTGATATCCTTGGACCTCACTTACATCTCCCTCTAGCTAGTATAGTAGCTACAACCATCAAAATATATATCTCCATGGCATGGCATTGCAGCTTTTTTTTCATCCCCAATCCATCCCAACTAAGAGCATGATTTGATGATTTCACATTTAGATTCTTTGTTGATTTGATTGAGATGGAAACAAAAACAAACATTTATTTTTTCTTTTTATTTTTATATATCAATCAAGAGAAAATATAGAAACAAACAAATGGGGGACTTTTGATCCTCTAATGTCTTGATAAAAAAAAAAAAAAAGCATCTTCTTCTATATTAGGTATAACGTGGTGCATGCAGTATTAGAATAAAACATAATATATTATATTACACACACATACACGAACAAAAGTGATGAATGAAGGAATCTGGGAGTGGCTCTTGATAGGATATCTAGAAATATATTAGGAATTTAAACATGGACTTTTTCCACACAAGATGACAAATGCTTCAACGACTTGCCATATGTTTGTTATTTGTTAAGGATCTCATCCTCCTCCCAAACAAACAAATCCAATATCCAAATGCAATATTTATGCCCAATTGGAAGAAGCTTATACGTTTTCCCATGAGGTTTAATTGAAGGGTATTATTATTATAATCTTAATAATTTAATTTGGCATATCAAGTAGTAGTAGTAGTATATAAGGGGGGCTCTAAAACATACAAAAACCCTCCGCCAAAGAGGCTTGAATTGAAAAACAAAGAAACAAAGAGGCATGATACTGGTGTGGCTCCTGTCCTGTGTCCTGTCCTGGTTTTGTAATGGGAGATGAGCGTGAGCCATGAGCCGAACCAATATCACACTTCCATGTTTCTTTGCATTTGTGTTTATATATTCCTCCATCCTCCCTCACAGTTGAATCCAGGTATGTATGTAATCCCTTTCATTATTTATGGTTTTACCTCTACCTCTACCCCTACCTACCTTCTTCATAAGATTTTCACAGAGACTGAATGGGAAATTTTAGGCTTGCGTAAGTACAAATTAGCCTCTGAATGCACAGCACACTTGAGTCTTGACTTGTACAGGCGACACTGGTGAATGGGCAGGAAGCAAGCCAAAACCTAAACTGACTTAGGACTGCAAGTGTGATGTCGGGAGATGGATACAACTACCTATAACCAATGTTTTAAAAACCAGTTTTATGTAATTTCTAGACCGGATCAAACCGGACGGTTTCTTCAGAAACTAGGTTGAACAAGCGTGATAAAAAACCGTTTGAATCGATTTATTGTACTTGGATAGTGGGATTTCATTTAGTCCATTAAAAAAAACAGTTCATTTCCAAAGAAAAATGAATAGCACGATCGATCCGGATAAGCTTATGCAAAAATAGGATTATGGTCACATATTTATTTTGGAAGCATACAGATAATACTATGAGAAAACCAATAAAACACACAAGTCAAACTCTAGACAACGAGTCCCCAAGGGATAATTAGTCGCATAACGTATAGATAAAAATGACAACATAAAATAAATAATATATGATCAAACATTTCTCTCTGGCATGAAACGAAATTTAATACCACATAACAAACATGTGTCGAAAGTCGAAAGTCGCAACCCGATTTTCATCTGGTCCTAAGGAAACGAAACCGGAAACTCAAAAGGAGAGACGTATGTAAATGAACCGAACCAAACCGACTGCAACATGGACGCATGGATAGATAGATGGATCCTACATGATAGACGTGACGTACCACAATTTAGCTGGATTTAATATTTGATCCGATATGTTGCTTATTAAAATATCAAAGGTGTGACTGTGACTGTGCGCGCATCATATTCATGGGTTTATTATATATTAGAGGTATTATCACCTCACCTGTTACGTTACGTTAAGCTGTCTGTCTGTGCATATTCAACGTCTTCCACGGTTCGCTCCACCACCTGGCTTCCCTCCGCCACCTCCTCCTCCTGCCCTCACACCAGGGTAGCGAGCAAATTGCAGCCGTAAGCTCACCGACTCTCGGTCATGTTCATCAAACTTATAACCTGCAAAATCCACTTTCCACTATTTTACACTGCTCTACACGCATGACTCACTGCACTTCTAATGCTGCTTTGGAGTTACCAATCTATATGCCAAAAGGGTTTTATCCTTTGACTGTTGGTTGGTGTTCTGTGAATGCGATTTACGTTTACCTACCTCTCACACACACACACACACACACGTGACGGTTTTGGTCATGACGTGGGACCGCTAGTAATACAGGTGGGTTACTGAATTTTTTTTTAGGGTTGTTGGAGATGGAAAAGGAGTTCCTAGTGTTAGGGGTATTTACAAGGAATAAAAAATAGATACGCTCTTTAGCAATTGAGAATAGTTGCTCCCCGATTTATCATATTCATATTCGTATGACTATGAATGAATGCTCTCGAACTCGATACATAGCTGCAACTCTGAGCAGGTAACTTGTAGCGAAGACAAGTAGTAAAGCGGCGTATTGTTCAATATCTAAGCATTTTCGCATCATTTGGTTTGGGTTGGGTTGGGGGGGATTCAATAAATATAGCGAGTGCCTCTATTACAAGCACAACGAACCACCATTTGAGGTTAAAATTGACGTATTTCCTTCAACTAGTAGATGCACTATCCAAATAATAAATGCAGATTGATATATAGAAACAAAAAATTGTACCTTGTAAGGCATCTTTAGCAGTGGCTGCCTCAGCTGGACTTTTGAAATCAACAAAACAGAGTACCAATGGATCACCACTTGACTGTAAAAAATGTAAAACACAAAACATTATATTATATATATCTCAGCATATGTTATCATCACAATTCATTAATCTTCTTACATGTCTGGATTCCTTTGTCACGAGTCGGGCTTCTTTGTACCCCACAAAAGGGCGAAATATATCTGCAAAACTTGGGTCAAGGAACCAACCAAATATATACATAAAATATGTAAAAAAAAAAAAAAAAAAAAAAGGAAATAATAGGATACGAGCCACTTCTCTTCGTGAACAATTTGAAGGCAAACCCTCCACAAACAATGTATTGCTGGCATCAGGAGGCAAAGGAATTTCATGCCTCCCGCCTCCTAACAGCCCTGCTGCATCCCGACCTTTTGCTGATGCAGGGGGGCCCATACCCATACCCATACCCATACCCATGCCCATACCCATACCCATCATGCGAGGATCTTCGTGAAAACCACCACCAACTCCCATCCCCATGGGTCTACCAGACTCAATGCCACTGTATGGCGGTAATTGCTGATATCATAGAGATTCATTCCCATGTAAGAACTTTTATACATACATACATACATACATACATACATACATACATACATACATACCGTGCCACGCAGGTAACGATCGTAAGATGCACCGATTGAATCAGAATCTTTAACCACTAGTTGAGGTCCGGGTCCTCTCTCCCCCTCAGGATCAAAATATTTAGGCAACTCACGCCCACCAGGAACATCTATCAGTATCATGTCAATCAAAAACCCATGTAATTATACTATAACCAATTACAACTTAAACATAATGGAACAATCCATGCAACTGCTTCCTAAAATTTATAGCAATTTCATATTCATTAAAACGACTAGCTTTCAAAATTTCTGGCACAATAATTATGAAAGAGTAAGACCCGAGATGAGCTTCAAAAAAAAAAAAAAAAAAAACGGGAAAGACAGACATATCTTTGCATAAGTTATGGAGTGCTGAAAAAGTCTGCTTAGATCATCAATAACTATTACTAGTCTTTATCCTATTAACTAAAATAGGAGGCGGGACCCACTTTAAGTGGGGTCCATACACCCCACTAGAAATGGCTGTATCTGCCACTGCTAGTAGCTGATATGGATCCCTCTAGACAGCCATGTCAACTTGAACATGTTTTAGAAACTTAACCTATTATCTTTTCCTTAACATCAGATTTGGCTGATTAACGAAACCCTTAATAAAAAAGATTCAGATACCTTATCCCCTTCAACACACCCCAAGTTATCATGGTACTCAACAAGGCAACAGCCTCCATTACTCTTTCTATAGAATCTTAAAATGAGTCATATCATGTGTCTCTCAGCCCTAATCATGATATTAAACAACAAACATCCAATAGTATTCTCCCACTCTTTGAGGAGAACTGAATTATGATACCAAACAAACAAACGGACACATACAGATTCCAATGTAGTTTATCTCCTACGCTGTCTTGTTGATTATCCCTTCAAGTAATTTCAGGAGCAAAATTCTATAAACTCATCAGCTTTATTACAATGCACATAGTGGTGTTAGAGTTAAAGATGTTACAAAATGGATTTGCAATTTTGAATTTACTAAAGGAATTTCCTCATGACTATAAATTTCAGAAGTCAAAATGTATAGCTTCTAGGGCAGTGGTGGTACATTTCAATATTTCATAACAGAAGCATGACAATGTTGTAGCTAGGGTTTTCTGACATCTGCACAAATCAATACGAAGCTGTACATCTATAACCATATTATGGCACAAATATAAGAAGAAATAGCATCGCAAGCTTTTCTGCTAACTAAAGATCTGAAACATCTGATTTGTTAACTGCTACGAAAAAAACCCTAACATCTATCCGGCTAAAACACAGACTAAAATTAGAACTTATTCCAGATTTTATTTATCAAATAGAAAAACAAAGGCAAAAACAAACGGGGAAAAGTGAGTGTACCGTAATCGGAGCGAGGGCGCTTCCCGATGAGTGGATGAAGTGGTGGCTGCTGCTGCCTACCTTCAGCGGCAGCGTATTTCCAGTAAGAATCACCCATGTTGTGGATATCAGTGATCAAAAAATTGAATTCAGATGACGATATGAGAGGAAAAAAAAAGCAGTCGGATTACGGTGCTCTGATGCCCGGAAAGAGACGAGAAGAGATTTGCGGCAACAAGCGTTCGCTTTATGTCTTCTTGTTTGTTGAGACCTCGTTTGGTGAGACGTGAAAACTTAGTTTTTTTCATTTTATAAAAACAAGAATATTTTGTTGCTTTGGATCCAAGGCGTGTAAGGCATGAAACTTTGACCTTTTAGTTTTAAAAAAATAAATAAAGAAATTAAAACTTCTAATTTTTAGCTAACATAAAAAAAAACTTCAAATCCAAATTATCTAACATTTAACAAAAAAAACTATTTTATAATTTTGTAAACTGATTTAGTTATTTTTTTTAGTAAATTATTGAAATCGTCCTTATGATTTGGTCAAAACTGCGTGTTTGGTCCCTAACATTTTTTTTGCACTCGGATTGTCCTTATGGTTTGATTTTGTTGCATTTTTCGTCCCTTGCATACATAAAGTTAGGGACCAAACGTGTAATTTTGACTAAACCATAGGGACAAAAAAGCAACAAAATCAAACCACAGGGACGATCCGAGTGAAGATGAAAGGTTAGAGACCAAACGTGTAATTTTGACCAAACCATAGGGACGATTTTAGTAATTTACTCTTTTTTTTTAAATTCAATAATATGTTTATAGATAAGTTATTTTATGTAATTTTAAATGTTTTAAAACTTTCAGCAATTTTTTTTCCGAACATTCGTATATAAATAAAAGTTAAGTTTACAGATATCATCTACTTTTGCCAAACACGTTCTTAGGCATGTAATATTCACAAAAAAAAAACATTATATAACATTGTTTTGGTCAAAAATCGACAAAGTAGATATTAACCAAATTGCATGAGAGGTTGTGGTGTTGTAGATGAAGTGATTAACGAAAATAGAACAAGATTGCACAAGTGATTTACAATGAAAGCCATTGATCCTTGCTAGGATCTCCAGCATAAAACCTTGGAAGGTGATAATGATCACATGCCTTGTATGATCTTATTGATTTGAACATAAATTACAGAGATGAATGATAAAGTGAGTCTAGATGAGTAAGGTACCAGAGAATTGTCCCCGTTGTGTGTGTTTTTCAGGTGTATTTATAGTCTAGATTAAGTAACTAAATGTCTGATATTTCTGGGATCCTACTGAACTGATATTTAAAACGTGTTTTGACTTGGTATTTACGGGTCTTAAGCCTGATTGGACTGATTCTTTCGTTTCGAATGAGTCCTATGTTGACCATTTCTGCACATGTGACAAATAAACAAGAAATATAGTCGTTAAACTTGTTAGGGAATAATAATGGTGTTATTCATGATCCTGATGTATGTTCGGGATCCTAAGACTCCTTTAAGATATGGGATCCTGGATAGGTTTAAGGATCCTTAGATATCTTTTAGATCCGGGATCCTGGATAGGATTCAGGATCTTGGCCCTAACAATTGCCCCCAAATTATACCTGCAAAATATTTGAATTGATTTCAAGTATTTAAAGTGTATAATTTAATTAATTGGAAATAAAGGATTTGAAATTCAAACTCTAACAGATAGATTTGTATCCGTTAAAAAGATATGATTATATTGTCAAATCACTTTTCTCTCCGTGGTTTGAAAGTAAATTTCTTTCTCCTTTCTTCTTATTTTTCCTGTTTATTGATTATGGGTAAAGAGGCACTTCATTCTCACTCGATCATCCTTGATTTTCCGACGAGGACTTCATCGATCAAAGGATCCTGTCTTATTAAGAGACCTGTTCTTTTGGTGATGACGACATTGAGTCCTTGAAGTCAATTAGGGCTTTTCCTTCCGATGTTATTTTCAAGCCTTTTGTTGCTAAGACCCAACCCGACTTCGTCTCTCCTACTTAGGTTTGGTCCCATCTAAACTACGCTCATGATCTGGAGGATCCTGTTTTAGGTTGATCGATTGAATCAATCTAAGGATCTGGACATGGGATTTAGCTAAGGTGGCCCATGTGTGTGATCTCCAAACTTTTGGGTCTTTTCGTTTCCTGCTCTGAGTCAAAACAAGTAAATCACATCTTATTTTGAAATCAAAACAAAACAAAGGTTCTTGGAAAAAGAAATATTTCTTTGTGAAACGTGAATCCATCCCGTCGGTGATCTCCTGCCAAGAAATTGGGTTAGAAAAGGTAGGATTTTATTTTATTTCGTTGAGGATATGAAATTCACACTTTCTTGTTTTATTTGTTTTGATGCAAATTTCAAGCTCGGGGATCTCGTCCCTACTGCTGAAGATATCGCAGAGAGCGTTGGGAGTTTCTTTGCTTCGCCTGAGACTGAAAGATCCTTTAGGTTCGAAGAACCCAACTTTTAAGAGAGTAGATCTGCTATTGCTCCCATGTCGAAAGGTAAAAATCCTTTATTTGTCTATTTTTTATTCTTCATGAAGGATCCTGAACTTATTGAGTTCCTTTGTTATGTTTAGGATCCAAGGCTACACACTCTAATGTCGTGTTCACCCTTCTTGATATTGACTCCGCCATGTCCGGTTTCTAACTTGTGGTGAAGAAGGAGAAGACCTCATCTTATCTTCCTCCGGAGAGAACCTCGATAAATCTGACCGTCAATACTCCAGGATCCCGAAAAGAGGAAGTCGGCTGAGAGCCTTGGGGCGGATGAGGCGTTGAGGAAGATGCTCTCTTTCTGGCAACCTGTAAGGATCTTTATGCCTTATTTTGTTTGATTTCAATCCACTTATCGTGGTCCTTTATAGGTCGATGATCATGTTTCCTGATCCACCGAATATCTAAAGGTTAAGCTTGACACAATGGAGCATGCCTTGAAGGAGTAAAAAGGGATCACTAGGAGCTTCTGAAGAGGGTAGAGAAACTGAGTAAGGAGAGAGTCAAGTAAGAGGAGGAGCATGAGCCGGAGATTGAGGAGGTGATTATAGAGAATGCAGGATCCTTGGCTAAGTTGACTGAAAAGCTTGTAAATGTTGGTCAGGATCCTGAAGAGAATAAAAGAAGAAAGAGACAGAGTATATCCCAGTCAGGGGTGATCAAACATTGAATTAAGTTTGATAAAATTTAAAAACAAGTTTAATTTTTTGTTCTGTAAAACAATATTTTCTTTTTTGTAGGTTAGGAGGGTAATCCCTTTTAATATTGATGCTTTGGTTTATCTCTTTTCTTGCGTGGTTGATTTGGTTGTAAAAATAGGGTTAAAATAGGTTTTTTTAAGGGTTCTCAAATGATCAGGATCCCAATGAGTTTAGAATTTACAAAAACTTTTTAGGATGCTAAAGATCTGAGATAAAAAATTACTTGATCAGGATCTTGTAATAGTCAGGATCCCAAGGTTTTAGAAGATGTAGATTTTGGTTTGAAAAGTAGGAAAACCATTAGAAGAAAAGTGTATATATATATATATATATATATATATATATATATATTGTTTTAAGAACAACTTCTGTTGTAGTAAGCATAGAAGATAAAGATAGATAAAACCTGGAGAGAGCTTTAGGTTTAGTTTTGATCTTCTGAAGACTTTCGACTTAGGATAAGTTTTGCATTGTAAGTCTTTCAGCTCCATGTGATTTTGAAGCTTGTATCAGGAGGATTCTTGCTTTAGGATTTCATCATGGAAGATCCTTGTTCGATTTTTACTTAGTGAACTGGGGAGGATTTTATCTTAGAAATCAATTGGAGATAACTCTAGCTTGGTAAATAACTGAGAAAACTCTTGTTTGTAACATGGTAATGCTACAAGTCTTTCATATTTTCGAGGGATTTTCCCAATCTTCGTAAATTATTGGGAAACATCCCAAACCGTATGATAACACGGAAATGTTATAAACCTTAGGTATTTTCTGGAAAAAATCCCAACATAAGATAACGCATTAGTGTCATAAACTTTAGAAAAAAAATCCATACATATCTTTTGCTGGGGAAAATCCCAACTTAAGAAATACTGGGGAAGATCCCAACTTAAGAAATACCGGGGAAGATCCTAACTTAAGAAATACTGGGGAAGATCCCAACTTAGGTAATATCGGGAAATATCCCACATAGGTAATAACTGGGGAAATCCCAACTTCAGATAATAATTGGGGATAAACCCAACTTCAGATAATAACTAGGGATAAACCCAACTTCAGATAATAACTGGGGATAAACTCATTTCGTAAGATAACATGATAATGTTATAAACTTTAGAAATTTACTTTAGGATCTGAACATATGTTTTTCATAATAAAACAAGTATAAAAGAATTTGTTAATAACTAATTTTGGTAAATCTAAGTGCTTTAAACTTCTTTAAAGATATCAATATAAAATAGTAAATGACTCTGAAGTGATGAAAGTTTGTAAATCAACAATTGGTTTAGGGTCCTGAAAAGTTTAAGATCCTTAATTCTACTTAAAAAATTTCAAAGTTAAGAACAAGGAAAAATGGAACCTGATCCCTACTTATGATAACATGAAAATGTTATGATTCGTGTGTAAAAGTCCCAACGTGTGATAACATGAAGATGTTATAAACCTTATGTAATTTCTGGGGTAAGATCCCAATTTTAGATAACATGAAAATTGTAACAACGTAAATTTCCAAAACAATTTTTCATTTTAAAAACATACTCTCATTCATAAAATATCATAGTAATCCAATGTATCACATGTTATCACAATAAACAAATCCCAAGATCCTCAAATACACAAATCCTCTCAGTGTGTACGGATCATGCCGGCGCCTTCCCGCGATCCTCGCTAGTACCTGAAACACATAACACAACAACTGTAAGCATAAATGCTTAGTGAGTTCCCAAAAATACCACATGCAACACATACGCCACTCGAGGCTACAATACGACCCTCTGGTCGATGTGTCTCAGCGGGACCCTCCAGTCCCGTAGCTCGTTGGACCCTCTGGTCCGGTCATAGCTCGTCTGACCCTTCGGTCCAGTCTGTGTCGTTGGACCCTTCGGTCCGGTCTATATCGTTGCGCCCTCCAACCCGGTCTGTTCAACACATAGCATACATATAACACAATGCATATAAATCATATATATACATATAGCATACAAGACCCTCTGGTCTACACATAAATACCACTCTAGGTAATGTATAGTGAGAAGACTCACCTCAATGAAAGT